GGACCTTGTATTTTTGTAAAGTTAACTGGGATTCTCTTATAAGGGCCTACATTTGTTCAGTACTGTACTATATATGCTATAAAAAGCATAGGTGCAGTTTTGTTTCATCATTTTTCATTATCAATGTATATATTTCATTATTAAACTGGATATAACCGAAGACCTTTTTCTCAAAATCAGTCAGTCAAGGCAAGAGATCTTTTTTTTTTTTGCTGCTCAACAATAATAAATACCTTGTTCAAAAGCACCCAGTTAGCATTTTTGTGGAAGGGAAAGTGCCGACAAGGAACTCCAAATTTGACTTTGCCACTCATGCAGAGCCTTTGGCTGGCCACAAAATGCCAGCAGCTGCTGCGCAATGTCTGCTTCTCTGTACATTTAGTGCTTTAATTGAATTTCTCTTGACTCTGCGTTAAGGTCGTCTGCCAATACTGTCTGTTTGAAGCATTTTGGCAATGAGAGCCAATTGAATTATTTATTTTTATTTATTTATTTAGAGTAGCAGTGAAGCAGCATTGCTTTCTTTGAATGTATGGAAATATTTCTTGTTGGGGTGTGTCTTCCCTGGGTCCTTAAACACAGTCTTCACTGTGGCTCTTCAAAATAGCTAGCTAGTTTAGCTAGTTTGCTCTGGCTCACTAAATGTATAGCGTTCTGACTAGGCTAACCAATCTAGCTAAACACAGGCCAACCAATTGATAACCATGTCTAATGGTTATCAAAGCTAATTAATTACATGTCAACCACTCATAAGCAACATAAAACAGATTAAATATGAGATTTTTCTAGTAGCTGACTCTGGATCAAAACAGTTGTCTGTTTGCAGCAGTAAACTTGTCAAAGAAAAGATGCAAATATTTAAAGTCCCATTTATTACATTTTCTTGTATTTTCTTTTTACTCCCTGAGGTCCTCTTGCAACATTTGTGTGGTCTATGTACCAACAAGTCTTAATTTGTTTGCATAAGCATTTTCCAATCTCTTTTAAACAGGCTGTGTGTGTTTTCTGTGCCTTTAAGACTGATGTATGCAAATGTCCTCTGTTCTGATCGGCTGGCCTGTATTGTGCCTTGTATAAAAACAGTCCAGGCAGAAACACTCCTTGTAACTTCAGCATGAATGGGCGTGTCTAAATAGCAGTGTTTACATACTACATCTAAATTTTTCATTTCGAAAAGGGAGATTTTTGTCATGATATGGATGCTTGTATTTACGTATTTACTCTGATTTTAGTCCAATGATTTGTTAATGATTGAAACCAGCGAAGACTACATTTTTTTAATTCTTTGGGCCTCAATCAATTCCTTGAGTCTTAAGGAAAATCCTTTGAACTGTAGATGGTTCATGGAGAGCCACACCAGAGGAGCTGCTTTACAAACCCTGTGCCGCTCTTATTGTACTGTGCTCTCTGATGCTACTGGCTGAGGAGAATCCATTTGAGAGCTTCACGAGGCTGCGGGGTGGTGACTCGGGTTTTTGAGATTTGGAGCTGGATGTGGGTCCCAGGCCGCCACTGCAGCACTATTTATAAAACCGGCCGCCCCGCCGGAGCTGAATGGGCTGGATAACGTCAGCAGATTGTCACGGCACAAAGCACAGGAAAAACACAAAACGGCCCACCAGGGACCTGCTGAATCGCTTCTTATGGCCTGGCTCACCCAATCTGCTGAAGAGCCATCAACAAGGCTTCGAAAGTACTGTGCATTTCATTACATACAGTGCACGTCAAACGTTTTGGGATACCTAGCTTTTCAAAATGTTTTCAAATTAAAAAGAGCATGATGTCTTTGTCAGTTTATAATAATTTAACATATTAAAGAATATGCAGACTTTTTTTTTGTTTTTTACACTGTTTATGTGTAAAAAAAGTGTAGCATGGGCAATTTGTGTATCATCATGTGTTATCTATCTATCTATCTATCTATCTATCTATCTATCTATCTATCTATCTATCTATCTATCTATCTATCAATCTAGCAAATAGAATACGTATTTATTTATTGTCCAACAATGTTGGAAATTAGTCTGTCATACTGCAACATAAACAACACTTACAAGCATTCTCAACAAACAGCATGCAGACATACATCTAATCTTACATGCTAACATACATATGTCAGGAGGCTAATGGCGGTGGGAACAAAACATTCTCTTAGTGTGGGAACAGCTCAATATCATTTTGAAGAGGATGGTTTGGTCATATACTATAACAAGAGTCTTCCTATGTACAACTCATCAAGCTGCTTTTGCCACATACTTAAGGATTCCAGCAAGCTTGCCTTAATCTCTGGCTAAATTTCCTAACCAACCAGTAATATTAAATGCAAAAATACTTTCTACCAAACTAATGTAGACTTTTTCAAGTATACTTTTATTTCCATGCCTTTGAGTCTCATGTGAAAAAGTTACAGGATCTCTAAAACACTTTACAGTTTCCACAGGTTGATCATTAAGATGGGCTGTTGGTAGGGGCTCCCACTGTGTCATATCAGTTGTTTGTTTTCTCTATATTTATTGAGAGAAATATGTTAACAATAGTTTGGAAAAGAAAACTGTGACATCATTATTTAGGCAAAATATACTTTCCATTTCAAGGAAGATATTTAGATGAACACAAAGCTGAGTGCTCAAAAATATTCATAAAAGATGTAAATATTTATATTTATAAATACAGTATTTGCAGGCATTTTTCTTACTTAACTAAAAATAAGCAGTAAGAAAATTCACCCTTTAAAAAATCCAAGATGTCCGAAACCTGATGGGCAGTGTAGGCCTACAGTCATATAAAATGTAGGTGGATATGAAACCACATAACATTTAAAACTAGTTTGGAACAATTTGCATGAACAACTGACGCTCCCTTGAAACAGCCCTCTGTCATGGTAATGTTGATATGACTGCTTATAATTGGCCAGGGCTCCTCCTGTGAAGAGGGCTGTAACGGAGATTACGCTTCTCTTATCATTATCATTTTAATGAGTCTTTTGTTCTGGAGGCAGTAGGGTGTGACGCTTGTCTTGCTGCTGTAACAGGCCTGATGCACTAATACTGCAGGACTTCCAGCCCCTAGTGTAATAATCCAAGATCCAGTAGCTTATCTTGCTTCACACCACCATGAATCTACAAAGCAGGAAACACGCAGAGGCCCAGGCCAGGCTTAAAGCTGTAAGGGATGATTTCTACAAATTCTTATCTGACTGAAAAACGATTGAATAAATGCATTACATACATGGTGAGACATACATGCTCTCATCTCACCAGCAGATGCCACAGGTGTGACGTCAAAAACTCAACACCACTCCTCATACTAACTGGGATTTGGGTGGTAAATAAGCAGCTCTTGTTCACCTTACAAGTTAATAGCTAATCAAATCCCTAAAACGGATACTAAAATTTCAGATGGAGGCGCGAGATCACTTGAGTGCTCAAACTGGAGCATCACACTGAACAAAATACAGAAGGTGATGCTGTATACAAACCATGACTAGTATTTTTCAGTAGAAACAGTGTACAGTTCAACCATTCACACATACAGGTTAGGTAAATTAGGACATCAGCAGTGTGGGCCATAAGGAAAATGTACAGCGAGGCTGATGTGTAAATCAATCCAACCTGGCGATAGTCAGATGTCTGGATTGCACAACTAATAACAGGCTAAATCAACAGTGCGAACAAAATAAAAATATTCCACTCATTTGATAAACCTTTCCATTTTACTCAGACTGAGAGCGAGATACAGTTTTGAGGGTTTTTTGTATTGAGGGCTCCAACACATCTTTTTTTCACTTAAGTAATATATTTTAATTAATTATATGTGACTAATTGCTATAATTTAGTAGTTCATGAGCACAACTAAAATAATGCTAATTTGCTACAGTGCCCCTATGGTCTGTGATTATGCTAGCGCCAAGTAAGTAGCGTGTATATTCACATTATCTAGCATTCATTTTAACCTGCACCTTAGAAATGTACATTTGAGGAATGTTTGTGTTGTAAATTTACAGTATTCTACAGTAAACCTAAACTTTAAGCCTGTCTCTGAAAAATACTGGAGGTGCTGCTTAGCCTGTTAGCTCTCTGCCAAGCTATTCAGCGTGCACTAGCGAGAGCAGCTCCTAGAAATCTCACACTGTTGTCAAAGACTTTTTTGGGACATTGGCGTACACAAATACTTCTATATAATTTGTATAATTTGAAAATAACTAATAAACAGAACAGAAGGGGGGAGCACATCACCTTGAGGAACATCACGCTGTGGTTTGGTTGTGGCAAGTGTTGTAGCTCATCATCTAAGCTGACTGTTGATAACAGATTGGAGATAGTCTACTGTGAGAGGAAAAAGGGGAGTGAATACTATTTGGAGTTATTTTAACTGATAATTGGAAATTATTATGAATCACTCATTTTAAATGTTTTTTTTTCAACCTCCAGCCCCCCTGTCCCCCACTCCCTCTTTGTAAACTGGGTTGTCAATTTACGCTGCCATAAGAAGCGTTTGTTTGTTCCAATGTGATGTTATAATGGTACTATAATGCCATTTTTGCTAGCTCCTTAAGCCCAGTGACCACTGGGATAGGCTCCAGCAGCACCCACCCAATGAGGATAAGCGGCTTAGATACAGTGTATGAGTGTATATATTTCCCGGCATAGACCTATATGTAAGCTCCAGTCTTTATATGGAAATAATATTACTTGAATTGGAGATTAACGGTGCTGGTGTTCGCCAGAAAGTGTCCCAGTTTATCTATACGTCAGTCCTAACGAGGCTTATAAAATGATGCTGTTTCTCCGTGTGTTGCTCTCCTCTGGATCCGCCAGTGAAAACTTTCCCTCTCCACCTTAAGAAAGACGCTTTGCCTTCCACGGCCATGGTGGAGACCACGCCCTGCGCAGGATCCAATTGGACGGAGCCCAGCTGCCGCGGGCGCTGATTGGCCAGCGCTTCTCCATTGAATCGCCTCCACCTTTACTTTGTCAAATTCGCTGCGCTTTCATTGAATCGGCTGCTGGACGGCGGGCGCTGCTTCAGCGATCTCCGCTCTGCTGCTGTACTCGTCACAGAGAAGACAACTTTGGACACATGCTCACGAGGAAAACGGCGCTGGCTGGGATCAGTGGCGGACGGTTTGAGTGGATTAGCACTTGAAGTGGACGGAGGGCGTGAAAAGCTGGGGGGAGAGCGAGCGAGAGACACAGACCGAAAGAAAGAAAGGGAGAGAGAGAGGCAGAGAGACACCAGCACTTCGCTCTCATGCACCGACTCCTCAACTTGCTCCTTTCTCTCCACCGCACGACTCGAATTGAGCAATGATCGCACTCCGGGACGCCCGTCCCTCCATTTCATGAGCTTTACGCGAACGTTGATTTGTTTATTTGTAGAAACACACGACCGGGGGACTTAGCTAGGATTTTAACAAAAGGAATAACATGCCGGACCAGATCACAGTCGCGGAGTTCGTGGCCGAGACGAATGAAGACTATAAGTCACCCACTGCCTCCAACTTCACCACGCGAATGGCGCATTGTAGGAACACAGTGGCTGCCCTGGAGGAGGTAAGCTGCAGCAGCTGAGCACCGCTCAGGATCTGTACCCCGTTTAGAGAGCCATTAAAGGGCAACTCCACCGGTTTTTCAAAATTCCCACATAATTAAATGGTTGAGATGTAAACAAAGCCATTCAAAGTGGTTTGGTGTAAAATGCTCTGCTCTAGAGAAACTTGCCGAGTCAGAATTGTTCACAGTGGTGGTGATAGGAACCAGACGTCCACCTTTAAAAGCTCCCTCACAGAAAGCAAGTATTACATGGAAGTATTATTACATGAAATGATTAGATTTATGCTGTCTGATGTCTGACACATTGCTGAATGATAGTTGTGTGATTTCATTTTTGAATTCTGATCCATTTATTTTAGTCAATTCATAGCAGAGAGATACGTACAGGGCGTTATAAGGCAAAATAGTCCCCAAAGAAGGGGACTATTTACCAGCATCAGCATTACATATAAAAACTCAAGATATATAAATAGCTTTCTCTATATTATGTGTATATAGTAAAAAAAAAAAAAGTCTATATTTGAGTTGTAGATATGATGACCTCTGGTTCCTTTCACCACCACTGTAAAGAAAATCTAAGTTTCATTCTGAAAGACTTTTACATATCAGCTATTAAATTATGCAGAAATTAAAAAAAAAAAATCTGTGGAATTCCTTTTTAATGTCAGCTCAAGTGACCAGTGGTGTTCATCAGCTGAACTTCAGGAACCGCTGAGGGCTCATTGTAATGCCTTCACAGTCCAAAGTGAGCTGAAACCTTGCTCTTCTTTGTTGCTGCCTCTCTGCTTGGGCTACCGGAAACACAGCTGATGCATCTTCATGCAAAGTTTTGGGTCACGACACAGAAGAAGCCAAAACTGTTAGCTGCTAATGAGCCCTTGAAGCTAAAAGGATGAGCTCAGTGTAGCATTGTGCCTCATGTTCTTTTTGACAGGAGTTAAAGAACACGAGAGCTTCGAGCTGAGAGTAATTACAATGTCCATAAAAAGTAGCCATGCTGCTTAGACAGGACATGTCCTCCCTTTACTTAAAGCACATTTTACAGTTAATCAAGTCAATCTAAAGCAGTGGCTACAGTGATGCTGATGAGCAAAGCCTCGCCCTGGCAAGGGCTAAAAATAGAGCTTCTCATGCCAGTCAGCTGTGCTATTATAAGCCCTTCACTGCAGCTTGGTGTGCATTTCAATGTGACTTCCTGAGGGATCTCCATCCTTCACAGCTCTAGATCCCTATCTTACTATTAGAGCTGCTGATGTAGGCAGGAGGGACAACAAAGATGACTCAGTGTGAACTCACCATAAATTAAACGAAGGCCCACTGTCTAGAAGGTACTTTATATGTCAGATGTTGTCGTGAATGGTTTATGACTCCAGGTGACCTGCTGGCTCTCACTTATGTAGGCTCACAAGTCTGAATCAGCAAAATGGACATTGATCTTATCTTGCTTATGAATGTGTAATGGATGTTTTTACCTGGACATGATCCTCTGTGGCCTTGGCTGAATTTGCCTTTGGTTTTGTTAAGCAGATATACACTAACACTGTAAAGGCAGTACTTCTATTTAGAGCCATGAGTTCTATATAGTAGGGCTGGGCAGTATGACAGTACCTATCATTATCGTGTCACAATACAATATGCTTTTCTGAACATATTGTGGGTATCGTCAGTATTGCATGTTTTATTATAAAGAGAGCGAAATTAGTCCCTTTAATACAGTATGCAAAATATTGAATAAAAATCATTGTTTCACAGTTTTTGATAATGTTTGTTTTTTGAATGTAGCACTGCTGGTTCTTTTTTTCCTCAGTTCCAAGTGCTCAGATGTCTGAAGAAATAAATGTCATGACGTATCGTGTACCGTGAAACTTTCTTGAAGTATTGCAATATTATAATTTTGCCATATCACCCACCTCTACTATACTGAGCCATTTCATGCTTAAATGGTTCTTTGTGTGGTGAAATAGGTTTTTAGACTGATGGAGAATGTGTTATATATGGTTCTATATAGAGAACTTTTTTGAAAATGATTCTAAATAGCACCAAAAATGGTTCTCGATGTCACTGTGTCACTATACATGGTTCTATATATTATGGTATGCTGTATAGAAACATATACAACACATTCATCAATCTGAAGGACAGTTTTACCTTGCAAAGAACCAGGCATGAAATAATTCTATATAGAACTCATGGTTTCCAGTTGAACCATTGTTCTTACTAAAGAACCTTTGAAGAACCCTGTATTTTATAAGTGTATACGAGCTGGTTTCCCAGACACAGATTAGACCTAAGCCTAGGCTAATTTTTTTTTATTTTTTTTTTCTTCTCTTTAAATGGTCAAACACAATTCATGTTGCAAGACTAAGCTTAATCCTTATCCACGAAACTGGCCCTGAATATCCAAATGTTTGTAGACACCTGCTCATCTGATGAAATCAAAAGTGTTAATAGGGAGTTGGTTCCTCCTCAGTAACAGCGTCAGTTCTACTGAAGCCGGTTTGATTGAATTCAGCCACAAGAGCATTAGTGTGGTCAGGTACTGATGTTGGATGATTAGTTCTGGATCATAAATGCCACTCCATCTCCTCCCGAGGATACTGGATGGACCTCCATCACTCCAGAGAACACAGTTTCACTGCTCCACAGCCCAGTGCTGGAGAGCTCTGTGCTTGCTTGTCTTTGGGTATGATCTTAGGCTCATGTGCAGCTGTTCTATATTCTGTGCAGGTTGTATAAGCTGTAGCCCATTGTTTCAATTATGAAGACAGCTCATATTGGAGTGTACCAGTGCCCAGTTAAACCGCCGTTTTGGTCTTGGGCAACGCCGTGAAATTTGGTCAACCATCCTGGACCATGCTAAGGTTCTTGTAGCTGGTCCTTAACCTGTACAGTGCCAAATGCATATCAGATTATATCATATGCTTTTTTATATACCGAACCACCAAAGTAGCTCATAATACAGTCTCCAGGGTTGAATAGATTCAGTACTATCACAAGAGTCCCATCAAAAATGAATAACTTTGCTGTATACCATGTCTATGCTTTCCATTGAGGCTCTCAGGAAGTCCGGCTTGGAGCTGAACGATTGTTTTTGCCTTTCCTCCTCTCGCGTGCTGTTTTTGCACTGCGGTCATGGCTGTGAGAGAGCATAAATGCAGACTGCAGTGAAGCCTACGCATTTGGAGTTTTACAGAAGCCCTACTTTTTTTGGTCTTTCAAAGTCTCCCCGTGACCTCTCTCTAGTCCCATAGTGAACAGGACCAGCTGTGCTGTGGATAAGTGCAGTGTCTGTTGGCCCACTTACGCTGTGTTCCATTGAGGACATGGGAAATGCTTCCACATATTGTGTAAAGGTAGATGCCTGGAATGCTGAGCACTCACATAACATGACGTGTGATTCTGCCCCCACGCTAGTTTCAGTCATCCTATTGCTTTACTTTTATTAGGAAACTAATGGGAAACATTCTTTAAGACATTCTGTGTTGGAACAGATTCAATGCACCAGCAGAACAGTGGTGCCATATTCACTGTGTTTAATTAAATAGAACTGTAATGCTGTCTTCGGACTCCCAGCATTGACGGGATTCAAGCTTGTGATTTCCCTCAGATAGGGCGAAACCTTAGACAGCTAGAGAGCCCCACCTAAATCTCTTTTTAATGAATTTCAGTGTTCTAGAAACAGTGTGATATGTTATATACTGTTGCAGTAGCAAATGTTTAACACAGTCTATACCAGGATGTGTGATACCACTGCTGGAAACGTTGGAAACGTGTAGCACTTGTAGTAATAGTTTGATATTAATAAAGAATAAGCTTATATGTTTGCATCAAGCTAACTTGCTAATGCCCCCACCAGAGTTTGGGTTTGTGTGACATTTTGTTTTTTTCATTTGGGTCAGTTGGTTTCACATTGCAATGGCTAAAGTGCACACCTAATACATGTGGGTGTTTTTTAATTGGTCAGGAATTTGGTGGGGGGTAAAGCGCTCTGTTACAGGCAATATGATGGTATTTTATTGTTATTGTGATAAATTTTGTTATTAAGTTCAACGTTACACTTTTCTAAGCATGCTGTAGTGTCATCAGTGCTTAAAGAATTCTGACCAACAGCTTTTTTCACTACAAAGAGAGAATAATTAGCCCTGTTTCATTTGATTTAGTACAGTACAGTATGTGAAACGTAAAAATAAAAATCATAGTACAGTTTTTGACAGCAGTTTTTTTCAAATGTGGCACTGCTAGTGCACTGTGTTTTGTGAAATTTTGTCATGTATTGTTTATCGTGAAAAAGTATTGTCATATAATATTTTTGCCATATTATTCACCCCCAGCTCCACATAACAAAATCAAAAGCTTCCATTACTCATTGCATATCTGCACTTATTAGCTGCGACTCATGCTGCAACAACAAAACCATATGACCATAAAGAGTCAAATATCAAAACGTACAGATTACGCAGACAGTACAGAGCTGACATGCACTGAGAAAATCATTCTCTGATGTTGAATTCCCTTGTTTGGTGTGAGCCATTGTGAAAATATAAACCAGTGTTCACTTAGAAGTGTATCAAAATCCACAGTTTTTGGCTGAGCAACTTTGATTGGTCCACACCAAACAAGCCCTTAGTAAACCCTTAGTAAAACTGTGGCTAAGCCATTGCACACTGTGATATCTATAGCACAGATTAAGCTCCCTTTATACCAGAAGTAACATGGCATGCCAGCAAATTGGAACATTTCTACATTTTTTTACAGCAGATCCGAATGACAGACGTCACAAAAGTATTTTGTACGTGCTTGTAGAAACATGGTGCTCACAGCAAATGGCAAAAAATAGACTTGAAGCATAAAACTGCTGTGTGTGGCTATGACCCAACTACATTGTTTCCTTTTCTGGGTTAAACTCCATTTTACTTAATTGTGCGCTCATGCGCATATTTAAAAAATGGAAGTTCCGTAATGGTGACCGTGCTGTGCTGACATGCTACCATTGTGGTTAT